CCCCTTCTATTACATGAAGCAACTTTCTCCCTGCCTTAGCTTTCCCCCCTGGTTTCATGCAAAGCATTTCCCCAACCAACGTTAGCCTGAGTGCATTTGATATTCCCTCCTCATCACACTGCATTAAAGCATCCAGGAGCCATTATAATGTCACCACTTTGCTATTAGCCGCTCCATCTAATTCATATACTGTATCCAGGCCGTATCCGGATTATGATTATGCTGCTTGGGCTAATGTTGTTTTATTCAGATGTTAGCAGGCAAGGACATTTGGGAACACACTCTCCTGCCAAAGTAATGTTCCCATTCCCATTAATTCACTACTAACCTCTTCTAGTTCTAATATCCCTCAGAGAACTGGAGAAGCCTGGGGTTTATTCACTAGGAACCAAACAGGACAAAACAGGGCGGGACCTACCTGAATTTGTCCAATAGAAACTGCTTGTTTTCGTTTGAGAAAGAAAATCTGTTGTAAAATGTTTTGCTACGGTTTGCTACGGTGTCCACTAATGAAAACGCCCCTACTGATCCATATCCTAGGAATAAATGCATAGGACATCTCTGACGGAAGAAGTGACCTTACAGATGGGAAGCTCCCTGAACACTAATGGGGAATTCCAATGCAAAAGAGAGCAGTGGAAATACACTAATCTGTTACAGCTGATGGAAAGTCAATAACAATGTATAACATGTCATACATTATTGATCCTAATGAAGCCATTCAAGATGTCCCTCATTACTTGCATGCACAGGTTTGTGATAATGAGGATAGACGTACACATTACCAGGGTATGTTCTCTAACCTCTAGTGTCTACAAGGAGACAGAGGCTAGGTCAGTAAAGTTATGAGAGAGAGAGAGAGAGCGAGAGAGAGAGAGCGAGCGAGCACAGTATCTCCGGCGAGAGAAAAAGAGAGAGAGCTAGAGAGAGAACAGATATTGTTCTGTCTCTCTCTCTTGTTCTCTCCCCTCTTTCTTTCTTTCTTTCTTTCTTTCTTTCTTTCTTTCTTTCTTTCTTTCTTTCTTTCTTTCTTTCTTTCTTTCTTTCTTTCTTTCTTTCTTTCTTTCTCTCTCGCTCTCGCTCTCGCTCTCTCTTCCCCTTCTCTCTCTCTGTGGTCCTCTCTCTCTCTGACTTCCTGTCTGTCCCTCCCACGCCGCCTCATCACAACCAGCAGGAACCAAGCAGCGGTCCTCTCTGTCACTGCAAACCTCTTCTCCCTCTGTCATCACCAACAGCCTCACACAGCATGGGGCTATTAAAAGGATAACTACGCTCTGTAGTCACTAATAATGGATGTGTTTGGGTGAAGTGGAAGTCAGCAAAAAACACCCAGTCAGTCTACAACCCAATAACCCATCGAGGAATTCATAATGCAAACTGCCTATTCCCCAATTCTCCCTGGAGATATTCACATATAACAATGATTAAGGAACGGCTGCCTTTATAGCAATCTCAGTGGAGTCCCTTGTGAATTAATTTTTAATATCATGATATGAAGGTATGAGACTCAGTACAATAACTCTTGCATTAATATGGCATGTGGCCATGTGAGCTTTACAGAGTGACTAAGGGAACCCAACCATGGAAGGAAGGAGTGGTGAACTTCACTGAAGGAATGATGGTGAACAGAGGTTGGTGGGAGGAGCAATAGGAGGACAGGCTCATTGTAACGGCTGGAATGGAATTAATGGAACGGTATCAAACACATCAAACATATGGAAACCACGTTTGACTCTGTTCCATTAATTCCATTCCATCTATTACAATGAACCTGTCCTCCTATAGCTCCTCCCACCAGCCTGCTCTGATGGTGATTGAGGGATGACTGAGGGAAGAGAAGGCAAACAGAAAAAAACAATAAAGAGGTGCCCTTGGGCATCAGACAGTCCGTCCTCCAGTACGTCACAATGTCTGTCAATGCCATATATTAGTTAGCCAATTATCCTCACCCTAACATCCACAGTCAATAGTACGCTATGGGTGCATCTGAAATGGCACACTATTCCCTACGTAGTGCAATACATTGAACAGAGCTCTGGTCAAAAGTAGTGCACTATAGGGTATGGGGAGCCATTTTGGAGAGCCAACCGATGACCCTCTACGATCCACCTGTCAGAACCAACCATTACATCCACTGTGCCCTGCATAGGCTATTATCCTGAGTCTGGGGAGTAAATTAGCCTTCTCTCTTTAGAAGTGAGATATTGTTATACTCTATTGCCTTATTTTCTGGCCCTTTAGCAGGAAGGAGCAGTGATTGTGTCTTTAAGGATCGATATTGAATTGCAGTGAGAGATGTTTCATCCTGTATTGAGGTAAAAGGGGTAAAATGTTGTGCTGAATGCATTATTAAGTCTTAGATTTATTGGTCACTTTTATTTATCCAGTGTGTTGTTCCGTCTCTGTTGAGAGACAGGGACGGTTAGTGGTTGAATTGACTGATAGAGGCTGCAGCGCTCTAAGTACGACCAGCAGGACGGTGGGCTGGACTGCCCTCCGGTGGACAATCTATCCAACTGCAACCAATGGAATATAGGCCCTGTTTGAATACTTTAAAATTGCCTTCTTCCTCCCTTTCTTGAAATCACTTATTATGCTTGGTGCTTACACTAATCCACCAATTTATCCGATATTTTATGAGGGAGGGAGGCAGGTTAAAGGTTGAATTTGATTATTAGCACTAGCGGCATTGCTTCTTTATAATAGTTTTGTCATAAAAATAATTTGCTTGTTGACATGGTTATATATATATAATCCTCCCATTCACAGCGATTAATTTGCATAGCTGTAGATATGGACATCACCATGGCAACTGAAAGGAAAACGTCACCCACTTTGGCAGCCTCTGACTACATCTATTTTTACATGGGATGGTCATTGAACATCAGCAAATACATGAAAATACAGTGACTAGAGACCCTGAAACTGTTTGATTCACTCTAAAATGTTAGATTACAGTACTCCTTTACCATTTACATTATTTATACCATATCCTATTACATAATATTCTGTTTATTATAGAGTAAATCATAGGCCTGCCTAGCTGAAAATCATGGCATAGGCTTAATTTAAATGTTTGTGTGGATTTTAAGACTTATTATACAAATCAATGTATTTGTCAATTGTAGCCTACACAAGGTCCAAACGAAATGTGACTTCCGCTTTAACCCAACCCCTCCGAAAGACACGTATAGGCCTACAGGTTGGAGCAGGGCACCACATTGGGCACCCATTGAGCAGTTGTTGTGGATTGCTCAAGGGCACAACGGCAGACAATGGCATCTAGGATTTGATACCAGCAACCTTCCGGTACGCTAGCTCACTTCCCGCCAGATTTTTCACGTCAGACCCGGAATTCGAACTGTCAAACCTCTGGCTCGCCTCTCAAACTCGCCTCTCAAAACCTGCCGCATGCTAGGCTACTTGACGCCCGCCAAGTAGTAACGGTTGATATTCCTCTTAAATTTCGACACAATACAATTCACTAAATCATAGCACATCCCATTAAGACTGACTCCACAATGTCTCTGTGTAGCGCTTGATGTGAACAAGCATTTCATCTCCCACACTCACTGCCTTTTAGAGCGAAAGCATTTTCTGTTTACCCTAATTAATTAAAACCATGGAAACGTTCAATATTAATCTCCTCGGCGCTCTGAACTCTAACTGCGGTCATAATCTAATACAGACAATTTATTCTAATTAAAGTTCCTTCAAGGTTATCTCTAAACAGGCCAACTGGGATCACCAACGGCTTAGTTCATTATTGTGGAAATAACATAATTGAGTGGTCACAGACTTGCAACTCCACTCTGGAGTTAGAGGTAGAAGAGATTACTCTACTTGAGGTCGAATGGGAGAGCAGTGCCGTCTTTTGTGTTCTGATGTCTCATTAACTCATATTACGCTTTACCACATGGGGGCGCTACTCGACCATAAAAGTTATATGTTGTATGAAATCCTCTGGCATGCTGGGCTTCTAGTTCTCTTGCCAGATTTTTTTTTTAAACCACATTGTGGAACACTCCAACTTAGTTTTGAGACACTAAAAACAATCACGGTCAAACATGGTACATGTCTACAATACATTACACCATCAATACACATGTATAAAATAATAATAATTTTTTTTTTAAAAATTAAGTACAGTGGATAACCACAACCCTAACTATGTACCGCCAAACCATCATTTGCATTTGTGTGTACTGTTGCTATTTATTTGCTTGCCAACATGTCTTTAAAAGTTTGTATCGGCTGGAAGCTTCTGTGTTTATGGATCTGAACATGTTTCAGCTCAGAAAAATCATTCACCTGTGACATCATGTCTAAACCTGTCATGGCCGGGGCTATGCTTTATGGGATAGGTGGATAAGGGTATAGGGGAAGGTTAGTGAGGTATAACAACATGGTGATTACTAGCTGCTTTCATACAGTTTATATGACCTATATGTTCATGGATAGTACAGTACACAACTTTCAGAGATCAATTCTGACCCTAAAAGCGGTTTGAATTCAAATCCAAACAGAAGCTTACCAGGTCCTTCAGGAGATAGACCAGTGTATTATAGAACGGCTACCAGCTGCTCCTTACTGAATGTAACTAAGCAAAACATTTTCCTTTCCCCCATTTAGTAAGTTTGCTCTGCTCTTGTTTTCTCTTTGGTATGCCCCGACTGCTTGAATACCTTTTTCTGGGAGGAATTTGCTTCAGGCTTGTGGCTACAAGCACACAGTTGATTGCATCACATCCGCACGAGTGATCTGGCTGGGTGTGTGTGGCTATGAGGCTGTGTGCTCTTAAGGTTTCTCTCTCTCTCTCCTTCGCTTTTTTTTCTCACTCCTTCTCCTTCCCCCACCCGCCCTCTCTCTCATTCTCTCTCTCCTCCTCCTCTCTGTGAGTCTCTAGGTGAGTCAAAAGCAGCCCTGAATCAGGAAGTAGGATGCCATGACAGACATTAGTAGTCAGAAGGAAAGGGCCACCACCACCACACAATGTCACTATGTCTGCTGCTGTTCCTGTCCATGGTAACACTAGGACGAGAGGGAGGAGAGGCCACAGGGAAATGACCCCACCGTCGTTCCTGTTGCTGCTGGCTCTGACAGCCTGCCTGGCTGGGACTGGTAGGTGTGGAGTGTGGATTGGAAAGATCATTTCCCCTTACTGCTCATTGGAAACATCGAGCTTTCATGGCTTTCTCTATACTCTCCTTCTTTCACTCACTTTCTCTGTCTCTCTTCTCTTGGTGTCTCTCTTCTTCGCTTATTTCAGTTTGCCTGAGAGTGTAATAGTATGCTGGAATGTGGCTTATACTGGCGGGTGGCGGCTGCTGAAATATGTGTGGACACGTTTATCTGAAGAGATTGTGAAAGTTCTAGGCCTTTTGACTACATGGTATTCTATCCAGTAGGTCTTACACACTGTATCTGTGTAATCGTTGCTGTATGGTTACATGTGTGTCTTTGAGTTGCTTCGCAAAACTTTCTGATGTTGAATATTTGAATAGCTCTCCTAGAGCTTGTTCACTTCTATCCAAACGGATGTTATTATCTTTGTACATCTCTGTTACATTTCAATTTTATGGTGTAGTGAGGTTGTGAAAGAGGCTGAGTTCACTTCCCGTCTTGCAACAGGTAGTTAGTTACGAATTATAAGAATCAGCTATAAACACAGTGAAACGTTGATGTTCCTGTTTTATTTCAAAAGACCCATCTTCACCAAAAGAACAAGAACATTGTGTTTTGTTAGTAGGAAAACCATTGATAGAAACATTTCGCAATGACATTACCTAGGCCTAATGGCACATTTTGTTCACTCTGTAGTGTATATTATCTCATATGTTCGATACTTCTTTATAGTTTAAAGAGTCATAGAGTCTACTGCCAGTATATGTGCCTTGCCTTTTTCACTGTAACAGCTGGCTGGTAACCAAGGGATATGTTTATTTGAAAGGGTTTTTAATGCCATATCCATGTCTCCTCAACACATTAATTGTGAATTACACTGTACATGCCCAAACATTTACAGTAAGATGTGTCTGTGATGCTTCTTGGAATGTCCGGGGTTAACCTACACTCTTAGAAAAAAAGGTGCTATCTATAACCTAAAAGGGTTACTCGGCTGTCCCCATAGAAGAACCCTTTGAAGAACCCTTTTTGGTTCCAGGTAGAACCCTTTTAGTTCCAGCTAGAACCCTTTTGGGTTCCATATAGAACCCTTACCACAGAGGGTTCTACATGGACCGCAAAGGGGTACTACCTGAAACCAAAAAGGGTTTGCCTTTGGGGACTGCCAAAGAAGCCTTTTGGAACCCTTTTGTAACCCTTTTTTCAAAGAATGCATACACATAGGTCCATTTTCTTCCAAAGATGATTTACTAATTGTTAAACATGATTAAGGTCACAGCTCTCAACCAAGAACACTACTGGCAGGTCCAAACTCATTCACATCCAAAGATCTGAGGACTGTTTAAGCTCCTTTTTCTTGGAAACGGTATCATACTGTCTGACTCAGTGTAGTTTGCACATAGTGGAGTCTTTTGTGTATTTTTTATGAATTCTGAATATTCTAAATTGCATAAAATTAGGGTGATGAGTTTGTCCTGGTCAAGTGACCCGGGAAAACTCTTGGCTCTCGTTATACAGTAGGCTTGAGGTCAGGTCGTGTTATAAGGAAAAACTCCTGGCCCTGTGTAGCTTAACCTTTGACTCTTTAATTGCAGTGTTCTGCCAGGATGATGAAGACACAAATACTGTTGAAGATCCAGAAACAGAAAATGATGCTGGTGAGCTTTAGCTGTTAGCTGCTTTCCCCATATTCATACTCCTCCAACACAACCTGGTGGTAATAGTTCATAACTGTCACTTTCCAAAGGGTTTGGCATAAGATGTGCTTGTGTTGATACTTTTCTCAATGTCTCCAGTGATCCCAACTGTAAGTGATGCTACCCCCACACCAGAACCATACGTATCACCTGAGAGTCCTTCAGGTGAGGTTACACCTGTCTCCATTACACAATTCAATGACCTTATCTCCATTAGAGCCTTGCATGACAAAAAAAAAGGGCCTCTGGTTTTTCATTTCATTTTATGTCATTTCAGAGGGATATGAGACCAAAGCTGAAACTGGTTCTGGAGACAGTCCAGGTGTAAATCTACAAGGTATATTACATCAGTACATTAGCACTTTGTGACAACTGCTGATGTAAAAGGGGCTTTATAAACTGGGTGGTTCGAGCCCTGAATGCTGATTGGCTGACTGCCGTGTTATATCAGACCGTATACCACGGGTATGACAAAATATGTATTTTTACTGCTCTAATTACGTTGGTAACCAGTTTATAATAGCAATAGGGCACCTCAGGGGTTTGTGGTATATGGCCAATATACCATGGCTAAGGACTGTATTGAGGCACTCCGCGTTACGTCATGCATAAGACCAGCCCTTAGCCGTGGTATATTGGCTATATACCACACCCCCTCAGGCCTTATTGCTTAATTATAAAATATATTTGATTGATTTGATTGATTGAACACAAACAACAAAATGTATGTAGTGTTTAAGAAAATAGTGTATTAGAAATTATTATTGAGATGGTGAAATAATTTCAGAAACATTGCAGACATGTTGGTGTTACATCAGTTTCCAAACATGATGGTCCCTCTTCCAGACGAGGATAATCTCAAATCCTCTGAAGCGCCGCTCGAGGAAAGTCTGAGTCACACCTTCATCCTGGTTCCTGTTGTTCTGGTGGTCATAATAATCGCCATGGTAGTAGGCATAATCATAATCAACCGAAGATGGAAACAAAAAGAAAAGAGCAATTCTGGTAAGTCATGAGAACTGTGCTGTAGCTGGAAATGTGTCCACATGACAAGAAGCAACAGGCCACATTCTCATACACCATGACAGATCTGCTTATGACTAGGTGTACTGTACAATTCAGTCATCCTTTTCATTGCATGGGTACATTACAATACTATGACAAGTGAAAAACTGCTTTGAGTAGGGGTATGTTTAGCTTTGTGCATACTTATTTAGGATAGTGTGTAGGCCCACAGTTTTATACACAGTTTTATACAATGTATGAGTGGATATTGTTAATGTACTTTGACATTACTTCATTAGATGTTGCATGATGTAGCTTATAATTGTGGTTTCCTATTCCAGATAATGTGGAAGAGGATAAATATTTGCATGGTAGCGACGACACAGAAAAGGTTCCAATGTAAGTATTGAACACTGCTCTATGAGTTGATATCTAGGCTACTGCTGTCTTGACTGTGCATTCTATACATTTCAACTTGCAGTCGCTTAAATTAATTCTGTTTTCCTTCGTATGATTTTGACTTCACCTTTTCTCAGCTCTACTTGTTATTTCCTGTTTAGAAAGAAAGACGTTGAGGAGTTTGAAACAGCTGTGTGTGTGTTCCGTGTGTGTGTCTCTGTGTGTGTGTGTGTGTGTGTGTGTGTGTGTGTGTGTGTATGTGTGTGTGTGTGTGTGTGTGTGTGTGTGTGTGTGTGTGTGTGTATGTGTGCGTGTGTGTACTCTTTTTCTCAACAAGTTGTTTAACACAAACACACATGCATCAGTCTCTCACATCTGGCATACAGTATATGGTCAAGAATTGTCATGTGTGAATTGAAGTGTTTACACATTAGCCTAAGAATTTATGAAAGAGCATTTTAGCAGAAATATGGCAAACCTCAAGTTCCTCCTGCTATGATATGACACCTTGTCCCTGGTAACCAGCCTCCATGTGAGAATGTATGGTATGACTAAGTTATCTTTAGTGTAAGAGAAAGACTAACATAAAGGAAATAGCCATAAAAAATAAATCTCCCGTCAACACTTTACACTGCACATGAATGCTCTCTCTCTAAGCCAATCATGTGTCCATGATGACTTTAAGGCATTGACAGAAAACTATAATCAATGAGGAGAGCGCCCTCCTGTGAGAATCAGCAATACTACCACTCAAATGGCTTTGAGTAGAAAAGCATGTCAAACTCTATTGGAGGGAAGGACAGTGCTAATTCAAATACGAACCGTTTTGGCTGAAAACCAGTGAAAACTAGCATATTCCTAAGAAGTTTCATGTGAGACCAGTACATTGTGTGAGAAACACCTCAACTGTTTTGGATTGTCTTTACACCTCAACAGTGGATGTTTGTATTTTTTCCTTCTACACTCCCTTCATTTTAGTCCCTTTATTTTGTCATTTTCTAATGTCAAAACATTCAAATGATGGACTGACTATGTTGGCTGTTTTCCAGGCCCATGTTTGAGGATGATGTCCCCTCTGTGTTGGAGATGGAGATGGAAGACCTGGAACAGTGGATGACTAAAGATGGTGAGTCATCTAAAAACCCTAAAAGAAAAACGTATAGCAGCCCACTAATAATGATCTTTGAAAAGAATGTATAACTGGAACAATCTGAGTTGAGTCTGTAACTCTTGTACATTAGTTGGCAATAGTCGTCCTAGTTCTCCAAGCATTAGACTACTCTTGGTTTACAATAAGAAGATCTGTCCGTTGTAAATTCTGTTGATTACTCACTCCTGTTTGTATTATTAATTTAAATGAAATGTGGACATTTGTAATCATATACCTTTCCCTGATAAATGTTGGTTGAATATAACTTTTCTCCAATAGAGGGCGCCATTGTATAATGTGTTGCTGAGCCATTGCAAGCGTGATGATAGCGTTCATACATTTTTTTTTTTTTTTTTTTACCTTAATTTAACTAGGCAAGTCAGTTAAGAACAAATTCTTATTGACAATGACGGCCTACCAAACGTCAAAAGTGCTCCTGCGGGGACGGGGGCTAAATTATAAATAGAAATATAAGACAAAACACATACGTGGACTAGACTGGAGTCAATTCATTTTATATGTGCACTTTAAATATCTAAGTACATACTAATAGGAGAGCTATTCGTAGACAATACATGTCTATATTGTTTGTGACTTATACAGGGATATTATATTCGTCCCATGAGTTGTCTATTTGTTTTTTTAGGTGGAGTTCGAATGGACTCTGGACAAAGGATCTAACATGAGATCATGGTAAACGACATCTGCACACAAGTTAACGCTATAGTAGTCAACTCTACTGTAATTTGATGGTTTGTGTGGCAACGCTGCAAGATAAGACAATGGGCTCTATTCAATCTGTATCACTGAAGCGTTACCGATTGCGCAATATAAATGGTAATTAAGGGTCATTCCCGATTTAGCCGAGATGTGTAGCGTTTACCGTGAATGTAGTCTCCGCTAAAGCGGGAACATTGCCTTTAAATTTCAATACGCCGTAATGCTGAACTTCTGTGATATGGATTGAATAGAGCCCAAGGTGGTGACTGATGAATGCGTCAGTCACACCCATCAATACAACTCAGGAACAGCCTGGTGATGACATAATGTGTTGTCCTGGTGACATAATAACATGACCTGCTGCTGTTGATGTGGGTTGACCTGTACTGCTGTTACTGTAACATGAAACTCACCAGTCTGTCATTTGATTAAGATAAAGGATCTAGGATCAGTTTTGCCTTTTAGGTCATAATTAATAAGATGGACATGGATGGGGAAACCTGATCCTAGATCAGCACACTTACTCTGAGACACTGTATAAATACAGGCCTTGGTCAGTGGAGTCTGCTGAGGGGAGGACGGCTCATAATAATGGCTGAAACGGAGCAAATGGAATGGAATCAAACACATGGAAACCATGTGTTTGATGTATTTGATACCGTCCCACCTGTTCCGCTCCAGCCAGAGCCCCTCCTCCCCAATTAAGGTGCCACCAAACTCCTGTGCTTGGATTATGGCGTAATTCTCTTAAATAAGCATAATCAACCCTCTCTCATCATCATAAACCATCAACCTCAGCACCATATCGTCACAGTTAATGTTCTACATTAGAGATCTACCATTATAATTCTCCTATGTAAACTTCATTTTAACACGTTGGTCACTTCAGATTATAGCTTCACACTCATTCCCCACCATGATGAGCGGACGCAGGGTTACATCTCGCTCATTGTTTGTAATCAACAGTCTTGTTGTACTGGCTTTACAATGGAGGCGACACAGAATTACAGATTGCCCATTGACCTTGACGTAATCACCTCATACATACATACTCATCATGCGCAGGTATTTAGCAACAGTCATTTATTTTTTTCCTTTTATTTTTGGTGTATTTTACCAGTTTTTCTCCCCAATTCCGTGATGTAAGTCACTCTGGATAAGAGCGTCTGCTAAATGACTCAAATGTAAAATGTAAATGTAATATCCAATTGCGATCCAATTACGATCTTGTCTCATCGCTGCATCTCCCCAACGGGCTCGGGAGAGGCAAAGGTCGAGTCATGCGTCCTCCGTAAACACTACCCGCCAAACCGCGCTTCTTACCACCAGCCCGCTTAACCCAGAAGCCAGCTGCACCAATGTGTCGGAGGAAACACTCTCAACTGACAACCGAAGTCAGCCTGGCCCGCCACAACAGTCATTTCTGTTCCCCCTGCATAGTTTGTTTTGATACGTGGTGGCCACACACATACACACACACACACACAAATACAGACACAGAGCGAGACAGACTCTCCCATACTAATACGCATGCTTCTATTATCTCTCTGACACACATACTTACATGCACAGAAATATACACATGAAGGCACAAACACATGCCTCACTTACTGACATAAGGGCACACACACACACACACACACACACACACACACACACACAGTGGCTGCTGAACTCTGTCCCCTAGTCCTCCTCTGTACCCATCGTAACCTTCTAACCCTCTGAAGCAGGAAGAGTCCTGACATCTGTTAGCGATTACCACAGGCATGCATGGAAGTGTGGCGCAACAGGGCTTAGGGATGGCCTCTTGTTCTCTCTCTCAGAAAGGCTGGGAGGGTCAAGGTCCATTAGACTAGCTGTGAGCTCACGTCATTCACACACAGCTTTATTTCCCAGGGTTCTGTTGGTTTGCAGCGTGCCATAAGGGTGGAGGGTCATAGACTACTCTCGGTTAACTGTGTAGGGCAGGCCTACTGTAGACCAGTGGAGGCTGGTAGGAGGAACTATAGGAGGACGGGATCATTGTAATGGCTGGAATGGAATTAATGGAACTGTCAATAAATCCTTATAGGAAACAACAGATATGTACAGTTGACTTGTATGTAGTTACTGTACAGTAGGTCTACAATAGGGCATGCCGTCTACAGCAGTGGAGGCTGGTGGGAGGAGCTATAGGAGGATAGGCTCATTGTAATGGCTGGAATGGAATTAATGGAACAGTGTCAAACACATCAAACACATGGAAACCACATATTTGACTCCACCAGCCTCCACTGCTGTAGACAGCATGCCCTATTGTTGACCTACTGTACAGTAACTACATACGAGTCAACTGTACATATCTGTTGATTCCTATAAGGATTTATTGACAGTTTGTAGTAGACTAGAGGATCAACATGCAAGCTAATGTATCTGATAGCGACATCATTTTCATTCCTTCCCAAGGACCTTTGGCTTGTGTGTTACATACTGTAGGTCAGAGGGTCTGGTGTAACAACCAAACGAAAGTAAAAACATCACGTCACTCCTTCCAATGAAGGACGTTATTCTATTGATTGTATGAACATGTACTGAATGTAGTTGCATGACGTCTCCCTGTCTGTCTGTCTCCTCTAGGCTACTCCCTAAAGAGTTATGGAGTCAGTCAATTCTCTCTCCCAACGGTCCTCTTGCTGTACTGCCTGTGACAAAGGACATTTCCCCATCGCAGGGAAGGACATTCTGTTACCCAGCAGCACTGTAGGCTTCTTCTATTAATGTCAATGTCAAAGCAACGTCATCAACCAACCACATTGACAACAAGAAAGCAACACCGCCACAAAAGTGACTGCAAAAAACAGGAATTGCTGAATTTATTTCCCATTTCAGCATTTAAAAAAGACAAGTAACAACCAATGCACAAGTTAAAAGTTTATAGAACGTAGCATCTTAAAATCTGCGCACTCCACCCTCAACTGTACTTTGGTATCGACTCCATGGAGAAACAGTGTGTGGCAATAGTCCTTTCACTACACAGGTCCTGATTGTGGTCGGCCTAATAATGAATGCTTTTTGCAACGCCATCAACTCAGTACTGTGCCTTTTAGTCATTGTTTCAAGTTCATATACACTTTTTATGTTATTATCTTTTGTATTCAGCTGTCATGCAGTGAGAGAGGGAAGCAGTGAGAGAGGAAAGCAGTGAGAGAGGGAAGCAGTGAGAGAGGGAAGCAGTGATAGAGGGAAGCAGTGAGAGAGGGAAGCAGTGAGAGAGGGAAGCAGTGAGGGAGGGAAGCAGTGAGAGAGGGAAGCAGTGAGAGAGGGAAGCAGTGAGGGAGGGAAGCAGTGAGAGAGGGAAGCAGTGAGAGAGGGAAGCAGTGAGAGAGGAAGGAGTAAAACACAGGAGGTTGGTGTCACCTTAATTGGGGAGGACGGGCTCGTGGTAATGTCTGGAGCAGAATGGGTGGAATGGTATCAAATACATCAAACACTTGGTTTCCATGCGTTTGATGCCATTCCATTTGCTCCGTTCCAGCCATTATTATGAGCTGTCCCTCCCTCAGCAGCCTCCTCTGGAGTAAAAAGTATAAAACAATTGCTGAAAGCAGGTGCCGGAGGCCATGTTCTGACACCCAGACAACAATATCATAATTTAACCTCCAATGATCCTACAGGCCCTCTGCTTTACAACACATAAACACATTCAATGCCCACAGTAAAGGCCATACCAGATGGTATATACCCTTATTCCAACTGCCAACTAACCCAATCCCATGATAGATATGATGGCTCAACAAATGTTTATGCTAACGACTAGCTAGTGTTTCCTCCTCTCCTCTGCGCAGTACCTTCTGGTTGTAGTACACTGACTGGATATGGATCTCTCTCTCTCTCCCTCCCTCTCTCTCCCTCTCTCTTTCCCTCTCTCCCTCCCTCTCCCTCTCTCTTTCCCTCTCTCTCTCTCTCGCTCTCTCTCTCGCTCTCTCTCTCGCTCTCTCTCGTCGCTCTCTCTCTCTCACTCTCTCTCTCTCTCTCTCTTTCCCTCTCGCTCTCTCCGTCTCTCTCTCTCTCGCCATCTCTTCCCTCTCTCCTCTCTCCTCTCTCTCCTCTCGCTCTCTCTCTCGCCCTCTCTCTCTCTCTCTCTCTCTCTCTCCCTCTCTGCTCTCTCGCTCTCGCTCTCGCTCTCTGTCTCTCTCTCTCTCTCTCTCTCTCTCTCTCTCTCTCTCTCTCTCTCTCTCTCTCTCTCTCTCTCGCTCTCTCTCTCTCTCTCTCTCAC